ATATAAATAAATATATATACGAACATGTTTAGTTTTTAATTGAGATAAGCAAAAATTAAAGAATTCTCTTTACACTTAAGTAGGCATAATTCACAAAAAGGAAGAAATAAATATAATGAAAGTTCATAAAAAAGAAAACATTATTATAATTCTTTTTTTTATTTCAAATTATATAGTATATAGACATTACTTTAATTGTCCCTGACACTTTACCTACTAATCCACTAACACACTTAAAATTATGATTTTATTTCTAAAATACATACATGTAACCGCGCGAAGCTTGATCTTGAGATATGTACTTATATACTGGCAATGCTTTACGCTTTTAGAGTTCAGAATCGAGGAGAGAGAGACAGAGGTAGGGAGAGAAAGAAAGAAAGAAAGAAAGAAAGAGAGAGAGAGAGAGAGAGAGGGGGACATGTAGAGTTACTCTTTAGGGTAAACAAAAAAAAAATTTCCTTGGATTATGTACGGAAGATTAAAATTGTCGGATAAGACCTCACATAATCATAAGGAAAAAACAACCGAGCAATCTTGCAATGCGTGAGATGCCTCCTTATAGGGTAAAGAATCGTGAATTCACATTTGTTGTAAGCGAGATAGCCGAGTTATCATTTGATCATAGAGTCAAAGTTTCCATTTGTATTTAATCGAAGATACAAATTGAGTGTTTTGCTGGATGTAGGATGGATGTATAATGATCAGCATGAAAAACTTTGTTTTTTCCTTTTTTTTTTCATTATTCTAGGCTTTCTTAGGATATAGATGATGTCCAATATAATTTTCTTGTTTATTTTTTAAATTACTGCTGTTCATTCTTCCTTGGCTTGTCCAAGTACATAAAAGTTAAGTTAAGTGATCGTTGTCCATTAGGCCCTTCCTTTTTGCATGGAATGTACTATTAAGGCCGTTAGGAATAGTATGTACAAAGTCTTCTTCTATATATTCTAGGAAAAAACATTCATTCGCACTCGTTCCCGATCCGTTGTTATCACCCAACTTTTACTAGTATATTAAATTTGCAAGATTCTAAGCCTACGCGATTCTTATATTACTTTTGAGTGTATTGGGCATAATTGTGAACGATGGTAAGGATGCAGAATTCCACAACAAAGTACTTAGCGCAATTGTGTTGAAAAGAGAAGTCACTAATTGGGGTGCAAAAAATGTCATGATACGAAAATTTTGGCTTCCGTGACCTCGTGACTTGGCAGACGTATTGCATGGAAAAATGGCTTTCAAGTGGACACATATTTTCGCTTCTTGCTCTTAGGCAGTGGCTACTTCGACAGTCTTTTCTTTTTAAGGGAATGGGAGGAAGACGAAGAGGTAAACGTTATGTAGGAATCTCTTTCCCGTTTGAAAAGGTTCTCGATGCTTCTTAAAAATTATTTTTAGTCGCCGATGAGGTCGTATACACCGTTAGCTCAATAGTGCTTTATTCTTAAAAATCCGTTGATTGTTATTTTTACTTCAAATCATGACCATTAGTGACATGAGGAGCAGAGTGAAAAACAACGGTTTCTACTTTCTTTATACAATAACTAGACTCTATGAAAAGGCGTAATGCGATTTAAGATCGGTTCTATGTTGGCAATTATTCAGTGATTCAAGAGCTTGCGTAGTTTTCTCTCCTCCTTTGCGTCTACTGTAAGCACTTGTGACTCACAGAGAGTTTGTTATTATTTATCATTTTTATTTATTCATTTATTTTTGCTTTTTATTATTAACTAAATGGTTTTCTTTAGGTTTGAATATTCTTCACTGCTCTATTGAAATATTAAAAAGCATAGCTCGGACTAGTTTATCTTCAATATTGAATAGATCTCACAGGTATCTATTAAAGAGGTGATAGGAAGGGAGTCCAAGTTTTATTATTTCATTATTTGCGAAATAAACTTCGTAGAAGAAGTGGCACAATCAGGCTTAAATAGCAGAGTTTTCTTTGCTAACACTCTAAAGTTATAGAACTCCTTAGCATTCCATGAGATAATGTTTGTTCGCCAGAGTGGGTTTTAAGTAACTAACCTTTAAGGTGCCTCTTCGGAAAGAAATAAAGCAAAGTAACTTTTTAATGCTCATCTAGAGAACTTTGAAATATTCTGGTAACTATTAAGTTCATTACAATCAAATTATCGAAAATATCGTTTTTCTCTTTTCCATTGGATCTTTGCTGCTTCGCACTCTTGTAAAAGTAAATAAAAATTTTTAACCTGCTGGCGGCAATCGCAAAACCAGGTCTTAAAAGAAACAGTGATCCACGGCCCACCATCTTATATTTATTCATATCTCAGTTACCTAAAAGAGGATAAGTTCTCGAAAAAGTATTCCAATCCGAACCATTTTCAATAGGATTCGTCAAGGTATCAAATTTTGCCCAAAATTGGACAGATTTAAGACTTTTCGATCGGTCCTTGTCGACAGTGCATATATCTGTACAAATACACTTAAGATACCCTTGTACCAAAGCTGATTTAGACTACGAGGACACTAGGACTGAAAATATTGCGGAGAAATTTTTATAAAGAGTAGAGAAGTAAATGAAATATTCATGAGGTAATTAAATCGTGAAAGTGATCAATTAAAGTGCAAATTAAGTGCTATTTACTTGCTTGGTGGCAATAAAATGAACTGTGATGACTTTGTTAATCTTAAAAGGAAAAACCTCATTCGATTAGAAATGTTTGTGAATTATTTATTTACAATTGCTTTTACACGTTTATGGAAGAAAAAAGTCAAAGTCAATACAATTTATGGACAACATTAGAGAAAGCATTCACCCTTCGAGTGATAGTGATAAGACATTTAAGTTTTGCATTTAAATGATTTTTACGTGTATATATATACATATATATGTTTGCGCATGTAATATATTGGCTGTAGTTTTTATAATGAAATTTCTACTCTTTTATAAACAAAGCAAAATAAAATAAAAAAAAATTGAAATAAAAAAACCCGCGTTAAGTGTGTGCTGATTGCAATTTGTTTTACTGCAGCAGTTATTTAGTTATATGTGTGCTTATATACGCCTTAGTTCTTGAGGACAAAAAAAAAAAAAAAAACAAAAAAACATTCAGAGATTAGAAAAGAGAAGAAGAAAATACTACAATGAGCTCATATATAAATGGTTATAATTTTTAAAAGAATACATCAGACTAATAAGTGAATCGTATCGTGAATCGTTCAGTTGCTGAACTTGTAGCCGAAAGCTTATACAAAAAAAAAAAAAAATTAAAATTTAATAATAAATTTAAAAAAAATAAATTTAAAATTTGTATTTAAAAAATGCCTGCCAATAACTTAAATCATTTAGTGGGAACGACTACACGTTACATAGCCGGACGCAAAGCTTTGCAAACTTCATATTGGCGTGCGAGCGCTGACGGCAAATTAATCAAATACAGCAAGACTTGTGAATTTGATCGTTCACAGGAAATTCCAGCCAGTATACGCCATCAGTTCTTTAATCGCAGTTACGTAACAAACAAATCCATTTAAGGATTTCACATAATGAACAGTAATAGTAATAGTGATTGTAATATTATATGTCAAGCACAGTGATACACATGCACATATCTTGCTAATTGAAAGTTGTGCAATAGCCGTTCTAGTAAACAATAATTATACGTAATATTAAAGTTCCTAACTAATCACACACCGATACACACAAGCACACACACACACACCCACACATACACACACACACAGACATCGACAGCGAGATTATGAACTTAAAAGTTATGGTGCTAATAGGTTTAATTTATTTAGTTTATTAATTAGCTATATGTGAACAATTGAAATTAAAAACATTAATAATTAAATAAATAAAAACAAAATTAATAAAATATATGTCAATAGCAAATACATAATGTACTAAATAAAATGTAAATATTAAAACCAATGATTAGAATTTAATTACCACTGTTATCATTAAAAAAATTTTTTTTTTTTACATCAATAACAAATAAGAGAATAAAAAAAACTTTTTTAAAATCAAAAATTTATCAACGTTAATTAAAGGAATCGCCATTTGAAGTTTATAGAAAGCTAAGATTTGTACTAATCTTGGACTACAAATCCCTTGTATCTCTTTATCCCTTATCCACATAATTCGGTCGCATTTGTTTCGCTTTTGTCTATTCAGTTAGCTCATTGCCTCTCTTGCTCTGATATGATGTGAAAATTCGCGTATGTCTTATTTATTTAATTATTGCGATTCATCCCGAAAATATGCCCCCAATAATGTGTAAATTTTTTAAACTGAAAGAATTCCTCTGATCGAGAAAAATCAATATTTGATATGTTTCGTATACATCTGTAGCGCACGTTTATTGATATCGTATGGAAAAAGCAATCAAGCTCAACAATAAAACAATATGCTGCCGATATTCAAGGGCAACGATGACATTCTAATCTATCTCGATTCCAGATCGAGTTATTGATACGTGTAGAATGGAAAAAAATGTGCATTTATTTTAAATTTATCTTAACTTCTCGGTAATCGGTAATATATATATAGAGGCATGTATGACCTTGTTGCCTGGTTGTTTGGACTCGGTCTGGCTCGAATAATTGATAATCGAATTATAAATAAAAATTCCGAAGCGCTTTATTACTTATTCGTGATCGACTTGACATCACTGGGCTGTTAAGTGGCCCTATAAAATTTTTATACCAAGCTTCAAGTGCACTTGTCTTTTATAAGTAAATTATTAAGTTTCTATTTGCTAAGAAGATTATGTGGACCGAATCACTTGCATTTTCGATTTTGACTATCGGTGATTGTGGCTGCCAAACAAAGGTACAATATTGAAGGTTACTTTTTATGCCATGCTATACCACTTTTATTAGAAGCGGATGTATGTAACACTCAGAAGGAATTGTGGTTGAACGCATCCTTCGTCATACCGATTGATACAGAATCACTTTCTCAATCAATTTAAGCTTGTCTCTCCGTTTGTTTCGTAGGCAGATCTACAGAAAATTTGGATAAAATTCGGTACAGTCCAAGGACAAACGCTATTGAAAATGATTTATTTCGGACCACTTCTTCTATCACTTCCGTTATAATGTCCTATTTTGAAAAATCGCAACATGAAAAACTGCAAGCTGTTCTTTCTATTTTTTCTTTTTTTTTTTTTTTTGGGTGAATTAATAGTTTTTTCTCTGTATGCACTTCACGTCAAACCTCAATTCAATGGCGGAATTAGTGGCATATGTTCTTGTAACCATACAAAAATGAATTTTTCCGATTTGCACTATATCTGTAAAACAATGATTTCTGATTAGCAGGGCGTAGTGAAACGCATCATTCCTAGACATTAAATTTGGATGTATGTCTACGACCTAGGGTCATCCGTCTATTTGAGCGAATATTATGCAAAAGGGGAACCACGCCAAAGTCCCTTACAAATCAAAGTCATATTGAGAGGCTCGTTCGCTTATCACGCTGCCATGCATAGTGCATTTTCTTCGCTAGACCAGTTTGCTCATAAAAAAAATGGTATTAATTGATTATGACGAAAACGAAAATGGCGATTAGAATTTATTTGAAATTATAAATAATTTCTCCCATTTCGTAGACGAATTCGCCCTATTTTTTGGTCACACCTTATTCCTTGACATCCCAAGCCTTGACTTGTTATCCCAAAGCATTAAGCATTTCAGCAGCATCGAACAAGCAGATGTTCACTCGGAGGAAGGGACAGAATCCTACGCTGATCAATAGTGAACATATACCGGCCCACTTTATGGAGCGCTCTTAGGCGCACCTCTAAATGTTGCAAAGAGAAGGACTCGCACTCTGAATTAAACTTCGGCGGAAGGTATAAAACAAATCCAAAGAAGGTTTTGTAATTAATATATCGTAGATAGGCTTCGTAAAGCTGTCTCTTTCGCACTTAATTTGTTTCCTGTTATTTTATTCTGGATTTTTATCTGGATGAGATTCGCGAAGATTTACTAAAAAGTTGTGCAGATAAAATGAAAGAGAAAATGATTCATTTTTGTCGCTCATTTAAAATAAATTGAAACTGACTTTATTAGCTTAACAAGATGGGAGAGTCAAGATTCTATCCATACTGAAACTTTCAAATCCCTGAAGCCGTATCAACTCTATGAACGTACGAATTTTTAACAAGGGGATCATCGTCACTGTCTTGATATCAAGTTGGACGTACATAAATACTACTACCATCTTTTCTCTCTTCGTGCCTACCATTAAGCCGGGGCGTTGCTAAAAAGAAAAATAAAATAAAACAAGTAGAAATACTATACTGGGCCACGCGTCACCATTAAATACCCTACACCACCTTACAGTTATTAAAAGTAATAATTCTTTAAAACGAGGCTTTGCGTGGAAATTGATCGGAAAATTAGTCCGATCCGAATCTTTGACCAAATCATCAACACATCTCTAGAATTACAGCCTCTAAGTTGCACGCAAGAAAAAAAACTGAACGAACGGACGGACAAGTTTAGATCGATTTAGAAAGGAATCCGTATCGATCGGTATAACAAAAGTTGGATCTACCTTAAGCGCTTCTGAGTGTTGCATACATACGCACAAGATAATATACAATTGTTGTGTAGGGTAAAAAAAAATTAATCCTAGTACTCTGTGCTTAGATAAGAAAACCAACGTCTTTGTTTAGAAAGGGAGAACAAATTTCGTTTATATAACACTAGGTGGACATACCAGTAAATTGGTTTTGAATAATTTTCATCCTTCCCCGGTACAAATAAGAAATGCATCAAAACTTAGTTTCCAATTTTTATTTTCTTCCATATTATGTGCCACTAAAATATTTTTTTTTTTTGGAGAGAATTTCTGAATTTTAACTCCCCAGACAAAAAAACGCTTTTTAGAGACGCTTTTATAAGAACGTAAAAGTTGTGCGAGGATCCGACAGAGTTGTAAAGTTCTTCTTGTTCTTCTTTCACAGTAGAATTGTCAAAGTACTAAGAAATATAATTCTGTTCGAGTTAATTATTAGACAACCGAGAGATAAATGTCCAGTGGGTCATTTTTGCTCGTAAAGTCCTTTGCAATTCCGAATACTCTTCCGTAACTTATGTGAGAAGGATTTCAAAATTCGTAGGACTTTTAAAAATCATCAAAATTGAAAGTGTTACTCTAATCGCTACATACGATCTCCTCTAAATGTTGAAAATTAAAAATTTCTTCTTTTGTTTCAAAATCAAACTTTAATATAATTTTTTCTTTGAATTATTTTTATTTATTTATTTATTTTTTGTTATGTATTCAGCTAAATTATTTCTAAATATTATTTTAATCGAAAAACCCAATAATAATATTTATTAATGAAAAAAGTTATGCACGCATTTTCTGATACGTCCAGATAGCCATTACATCCCGCATGCCGTCCATCATATTGCAGCCAATCCAGTTTATTTATTTGTTTGCAATGAAACTGCGATTTATAAATTGGTTTCGGATGCTGGCTGGCATTTCTTGGGAACGACCAAATTCACAAGTTTTACTGTATTTAATTAATTTGCCATCGGATCCTGCACGCCAGTAGCAGGTCTGCATAGCATTTCTTCCGGCTATGTAGCGTGTAGTCGCTCCCACCAAATGATTAAAGTTATTCGCAGGCATTTTGTATTTGAAATTTCTTTAACAATTAAACTTTTTAATAAACTTATATTGAAATTTTTAAAATAAATTTTCCCAAAAAAAAAAAAAACAAACTTTTTTGTCACTTAAAACAACGTTTACCAAACTGTCGTTTGCTACAATTACTTCTGACTTCCATTAGACGCAGCCATCGGCATTTATAACTACTCAGCCGCTAATCTACAGCGAACGAAATGAATGAATAGTGCAATGTTTAAAAAAAAGAACGCAATAAACATGCACTGCCTTGCCATGCTTTGCCCTGCTGCCTTGTCCTGCCCTTTGGCCGTGCAGCGACGTATGAATATGTTTTTGTTTATGGCAGACAATGTGCATTTTGTTAAGAGCTAAGCACTTTGCAATAATAAAAAATCAAATTAAAAAAACTATTAGGTAATAATAAATAAATAAGATTGTCTCTTATCTGTTGAAAGTGAAAAAGAAAATTTTGTTTACATCTATGAAATAAAATGAATTAAAAAAAATAAATAAATAAAAATAATAATAATAAATTATTACTCTGACCTCTTACAGGGACCGCGTGAACAGAGAATGATCGACATTTAAGCGCCACCATCTAAACGAAAAGAAATGAAAATTTCAGTCAGAGTCATTTTGAAAGAGAATCGTTCTGCTTTATATTATATATCTTGATGATAATTACATGAAAATCAGCGCATACCGTCGCCCCGTTATTGCTTGCTTTTATCCCACAGACATTCCGCAAAGGGTTATACTAAAGAAATACAAGTGCTATGACTGGTATGAGGATAAACGGATAGATACAACTTATTTGACCGAGGGATTGATTGATCTTATGCGCAGTGTCGCTTCATTCTTTCTATCTAATTCAGTTTTTACTGAGTCTTTAATAAATCTTCTTAACGTAAGGTAATGATACAAGTGACTCCGAGGACACTTGGAGATCGTAAAAGTGTAGTACTCAAATCGCTCTGCATACTCCAGCACAGGTCACAATCTGAACGTACAAG